CACGTGAACCCACGTATCTAATCGTGATCCAATTCGGGCAGTTCCTCATTCGCGTTAATCCAAAGTTGAAACTCCTGACTTGGGCCTAGCGTACAATTACACACAAATTTCGTTTATGAGCAGGGTCCAGTTTGATAGTCTTTAATGCTGTTATCGGCAGAGGAAATCATTGCTACAGACACCAAGTCGATTCTGGACTCCTGCATCTGGGTGTAAATGGGATACCCAAAAACATGTTCTGTGGACCATCTCCAATTTTTGGGCGCAATTTGCGTAACAGGTGTAACTAGACTGCAAGTCTCGTGGGCAGACATCGCAAAGGTTCAACATCTGTGATGCGCCATTGAAACCTCATTTCATCCACCCGCTCTTCTTGGGCAAGGTGGACAATAAGAACGCTTCCTCAACCACAACTCGCTTCCGTTCTCCCTTTTTTGAGCTCTCACACCACATCTTCAACATAGCACTTCGAAAACACTGTATCACGCGCAAGTATAGCCAGCACACACAGAATTCGAGTTGCGAACACGTGTGTCACCAGTCATCTGGAAATTCCACCTCGATTCGGGTCACTACGAATTCTTTTATGTGTTTCAGTGTTTCTTCCTGCGGCACTATAACTAAATTAGGGTATACCGTAGCAGGGCGTGCTAGCTCAAAAGCAAAAGCAAGTAGAATGCTCTACTGTTTTACCGCTCAAAGCATTTCTCTAGATGTCGGGACATGTTTGAATGAGTTGACCTAAGAGATAAGTCGTGAAAAATGTCGGCACATAGTATTTCGTAAGCATCGTTTACCGATTCCTTAAAAACTAGTGGTACACCGAGCCCGGCATGCACCAATAAGATGACTCCTCCCCCGGTCTTTTTTGCACGGTCACACCCATGAATGTCGTAATCGTTACCAGAAGAGCTCAGAATACACGCCATGTTATGGCTGGGTTTGAGCCACGTCTCTGTAAACGCATAGATATCGAATCTATCAGCTAGGACTGTATCAATGTAAGTCGAGTTTTTCGAAATTGACCTGACATTCGAATAAAAAACCAAAGCAGTTTTCTAGAAAACCGCGGAGAACGCATCAGTTTTCCTGATTTTCAACATCCAAATTGGGAGCAGTAAGAAGTGGAGCCTCAGTACTCGTTGAAGCTGGAGCGGCCCCTGCTGGGGGAGTCTGTGGCACCCATTCGTTAAAACTCCGACGGAGCTCCCGCTTCCTCACCCTCTCCTCTTTAGTGAGAGATTCCCGAAGGAAAATCCCCCGCACAGGATAAAAGCGTAGGCGTGGAGCTCTTATCACAGCACTACATTGAAACATGCGTGACGGAAAAACTACCTTTACTAACCTGCACTTATCTTTAGAAGGCCTTCCCATTCTGTACACAATTATCGGATTACATTCAATTCCGAGGAAGTCAACTGTATTACAGACACTTTGAAAATCTTCACAGAAACGCATCCTAGCATTAGCAGAACTAGACTCAGGCAGACCGCTTAAAACAATCGAACGTAATCTTTCAACTTCAGAGTACGACATATTCTGATCAGAGTTAGCTGCATTAACAGAAACATCTCGGATACCTTGACTAGGACAAGAACTCGAATGTGCAATCTCATCCGCTACATCAGAAGTCGGACTACTTTTATCGCGAAGCTCTCTGATTTCCTGCTTAAGGCTAGAATTCTCTGCGCGGAGCAAGTTTAACTCGGTCATGATGGCTGATATGACCTTCTTAACTGGATCAGCGACCCGCCTGGATTTGGTGATTTCATCAACTTTCCAACGCAAGTCCTTCCAGCTGTCTGTCTCACGTTCGCAAAGACCAGCTCCATGGGTGAACCAACTGCTGCGTCCATGACAGAACCGCACCGCAACGTAGAATAGATCAAGAAAAATCAATCCAGAACACACGCTGTAGTAACTCAAACTCGTAGGAAACGATGTACCTGTAGGGGTGGCAACCACTAAAGGGATAGACAGCTTAGGTGCCACACTAAGCAACGTAGTACACAACAAATACGGCTTCGATAAGCACAGGTGAACGTCTAGCAGGTCAGTAGTGAAACTGGTCAATGACAGCACTCTCACCACTGAGACTGAATATGCCGAAAACAGAAATGTGTAGACGGGAGTAAACCACTCACGAGCCGATTTCGAATGAAAAAGTTAACCAGATGAATAGATGCGTAGCTGAATAACAGCTGAAATCGTTGAATAACACTTGCCACCTCAAGTAGTCGAAGGACCAAAGAAATATCAGTCAGAGCAAGCAGGTATCGACCGCTCACCGGGCGCGCAGTTAGAAAAGTGACGAGTATATCGACAAGAGCTATGGTGATTTCAAGAACCGATCTCTTCAGACACTCCCTTATGGAAGCGCTGACATTATCAGAGATGTGAGGTATCATGAACGGGATTTTCCCATCCAAGGGACCACTTCGAGGTCTGCTGGTTCCATCACTTGCCTTGTCTCTGCATAAGGTTGAATGGCGTTTGTAGTCATTGAGCTCGGCAATTTTCCGTGCCTTTTTCACGGACTCTTCCTCTTCTCTCCTCCGAATATGGCATTGTCTTTTGGAGTCGCCGCTATTTGGCGTCATTTCGACGGTATAGCTTTTTGACTGCTTTCGGAAAAAATTTACCTTATTTGGATTATAGGTTCTGGTTTCGAATAAGACGTCCATTTCGGCTCTAGTACAATTTGGAAAAAAGTATAAAAAATGCAACGAGCGCGAAGCGTCGGGAATCTGAGCCACCAAGTCCGAAGGGTGCCAGTTGAAATCCACAACGCTAACCACCACACGATCGACGCTGCCAGAATGTGTTGACCAAACGCTTTCATGAAACTTTCACACGCTCTTCAGTATACAGCATGACACCACTAGGACAGCATTCCAATTGTGACCAAACTTCGCGTTGTTTTTAATACGCAGCTAACGAAGACCCTCCATTATGCATGTAGCCCACGAAATGAAACACACCACGACGAATGAGTAAAAACTGCAGTCTTACATTATTTCCACCCATTTTTCTGCATTCAGAGGGCCATTCCGCGGAAATGGACCATAGTCCTGTGTTTAGTGCACACGCTCCAATATCATGCAGAAACACATTTCCGGGGAGCGGCCCACGCCCTGAAGGCGCTCCATCGTAAGATAAAGGTAGCGATTACCATAGATTTGAGAAGGTTTCCAAGCAGACTAATGCTCAGTGGCACGCAACGGCGAAAAAAGCTGAGGAATTCGTCAAGGAAACACAATACGGGCCCCTCTTTTTTAGCCGATCGTTTTCACTCATGAACAGCTAACAGCTCAGAAAGCGGACGTATGAACGAGTTCATCGCATACCAATCGCATGGCCCAATCGAGATGCCCCAGTTGTGCCGTTGCTAACATCGCAGCTCGTTCAAATCTCCAACTAAACTAGAGCGGATCGATTTTAGGAGCGGGGTGCTCTTAAAGTTCTGCTCAGCAACCAGTGCACCTTTCGTCGTGGAAGCGCCACACCTCGCTAATTGGCCGCCAAGGAACTGCTTTGTGTGGTGCATATGCTTTCCCGAAGGGCTTCTTCCTTATCATAATCGCCGCCTCTAAGACGTTGACGACGATGTCGGTCAACGGCGACCGACAGCTTAGAAGCAAGGAGCTCAAACAAAGCCCGCGAGTTTTCTCTTTCAACAATTACTCAGGGGTCCTAAGATTATGAACTTGGCTGCGACTCGTGACCTTTCTCATTGCAGGAACTTCTTTCTTGTATTAATTATCGACTGCAAAAATGCGTCGCCAATTGAACTGCAGCCACAAAGTTCCTACTATCAGCAAAGTCAAGATTTCATTGAGGATGTTCACATCGGTCTTTTATTACGATGTTTTCGACAGTAGAAGCGTATTCCTAGCTGAAACTGAGGTGGCTTCAATGGTCAAGTAGGCACAGTGTCACAGTGTAGAATACGAATTCCATGAAAAAAACAAAGCTCAATTTAATAACGAAAATGAAAAACTGTGTGAAATTTCGCCTTTTATGTCAATCTCCTCATAAGCTTTGATAATGTCAGGCGATGTTATTAAAATTTCAGAAATCATTCAGTATTAGGAACGTGAAGGCAGAGGATCGGTAACTACTAACAACTACAAACAACTTGTTTCTAAATGTGTTTGGAGCACTCCAGTCAAGAACGGTCTGTGTATTTCGAGATTCTGAAGAGCTACACAATAGATTTTGCCCAGGTACCGATCCTCTACATGCAAAAAAAAACGCCTCGTCCCATGCCCGCGACAGGGAAATACGCTCGTCGTCAACTGGCTAAAGGAGGTTCACCACCATCTCAATAGGTCTTCTCTAATATAAGCGCCAAAGAAGCTCCGACCGATGGAGTGTGGATTCCCAAATTTAAGGATGTTCATAGTAAGACCAACGAGCAGTGAGAATGATAGCCGTGGTATTACCAATAACACCACATTTATCATTCGGTAGTTACATCTGCTTGCATTGGTGCATGCAGGAAATTGGTCAGTTTGACGGGTGCTTATATTTACAGACGGGAACGTTTCGAAAAGAACACCCAGTGAAAAATATGCAAAGAGAATTGAGTAAAATGATACCCCAAGCATTCGATATCTCGTAGGCTGACAAGATTGATCGAAGCTCCGTGCGGAAGTGGCCGAAGAAGTGAACGGTTACGTAAAAAAAACTCGGTGTTGTGTGCTTGTGTTTAATGTAAAGGTGGGTAGGCGAGGGAGTGCTACACCTCCAAGATTCTGATAAGGTGATGATTGTTGGATAGCTCTATCAAGCAAAAAACAGCTCACATTCTAAAGAAAGCCATTAAATAGCAGGCAAGAAAAACACTATGCAGACAACAAGAAATTTAGACTGTCTTTCACCCAGCGTGGAAACATCAACGTTCGTGGAATATTTCCACCGTTGGTAAAAAGGTGAGAAGTGCTCTTAATTGCCCTTTCCTTTCTCTATCAACTTTTGAAATTACAAATTTTGAGGTGATGTACACTCTTCCTGAAGTGCTTGTTAAAGATCTAGAACCATGGCACTTACGGATTTGGAGTACGAACAGCAGGTCCATTATTGGTCAGCTGCAATTACTAACTGCACACACTGAACTTCAGCTGCGCTCTTGCGACTGTGAGTTCTAAAGCAAACTTCTCATAAGAAATCTATTGTATTAGTAAGATTTAGAGCTCTGAGGAACTGTCTACAGTACTTCTTAGCTTAGTATCCTCTTAACTCACATCATGCCTTGTTGAAGTTTAGCATATTATGGCATAGCTCTCCTCGAAATGTACATTAGAGGTTTATAACCATGATACGACTGAAATAGGTCATTTCCATATCATTTCCATTTCCATATCGTATCGAATGTTTTAAAAGAGGCATCACATTGGAGTTGTGCAAAAAGTGGTTAACGGCGTATAGATGAAGAGAAAGTTAAGAGAAGTGCCGTAGAACCCGAGTAATGGGACCGTTTTTGCCATGTTACGCATTTGAGAAAGTCAAGAAGCATGAATTGACCTGTTTGGCTTGTTGCATTTGGGGCGAGTCTTAATGCGCCGACATGGTTCATGTGAACGCTGTGGTCCACGTTTCCTACAAGCAACTAGTGTCCGCAGCTAGAGTACATTTGTGAGGACCCTCTCATCTGGAGAGTGAGCAACACAGCGAACACCGTGGATGAGGCCCTGCTGGAATAGCCCTCCGTCGCTGGAAGCGTCCTGTCCCGCTAATCATCCTCCTTTCTGGTGGGCATAATGTCCTGGATCCTCCTTCAGTGAAGCTAGCCAAGGCAAAGGCTGTATGCATCGTTTGAAACCGTTAGCCTAACTTGCAACGCAGAGGCCTCTTCTCTAGAATCCTCTCAGCCCATCCGCTGCTGATCTACGGTGGCGACCCATCTTTGGTCAAACGCTTCTACTGGCCTAATTCAGTCTGCTTCAAAGTTTACACGAGGTTGAAGCTTTAAGATGAAGTAAAAGGCAAAGAACAGCTGAGTTGTTTGAAAAGACATAAGCACTCTCCATTACCGCAAGGGTTTCGTAGTTTCTTGGTGACGCTCTACCTCCAATATCTCAATGGAACAGCATCGAACGACGAGCAGTGCATCTGCCAACCACTAGCTCGAGATTCTTCCTTGACCTCGACAGCGAAGAAAGCACGCATGGTACAAATTTCTCCCAAATCTATGGGCTTGAATAGAATGAGAATGATTCAGGTATTCGTCACGTTGGCACGCTATTAACGAAAAATTTCGCCAAATATGTCAAAAACAGAACCACCGGCAATGGTCCCTTGTCACTAACGAGTAAAACCCCCGTCTGTTCCATTTATATTTTTTTGCACTGAATGCCTCAAGTGAGTGTGTAAAACAATGTCCGCTGTCACCACTGGAATTCTCTCCCGAATGTGAGCTAGAAAAGAAAATTTCGTTGTGATTTGCTACAAAGTCCATTCATCATGTTTCGCGCTATCAACTCACAGAGCGGATATTGCTTTAGCCCATCCGATTTTTCAGATAATGTAGAATGGTCCTGATTACACATAAAAAACGCATTGCAACGTTCTCCAGAAATGGAACTTCGAACTAAAATGAAGCATTTCCAGTTCTCCTTGGTGACAAGAGCACGATGCAGATGCTCGAACATGAAAATTTCGACGCAGGGATTACCGAGATGATCGACCCATGCGGCTTCGGTATTTTCTCTGTAAGTTACCCAATAGAATCTCTACGAAGTTACATGATGAAAGACGCATTGAGCTTCTAGTCCCAACCCACTTAATCCAACAGCAGCTGTAAAATTCTTTTGCTATTGGAAGGTTGTAGAGGACCGATGTACCGTTTCTGATACTCGCAAAACTTTTCCAGCTGGCTTCCTTCCCCTTTCCAGTTTTTTTAAACGCCGAAGGTTAAGCTTCAATCTATTGAGCACGTTGTATCAGAGAATTGCACATCTGGCCCGTCGGAGTACACTTCGGGATGAGAATTTGTTGATGTATCAGTGCAAAACTAGAGGATACGAAAGACACGAAATTGCAGATGATGAATCGTTCTTATTATGATCGCGTTCTTATAACATATTTCTTCAGAAGATCGGCATTGGTCATATGATTGCGACATCTGCCTTGGGAATTATGGATTCGATGGGCGAGTTCTACGATGTGCCAAAATTACCCAGTATTGTACCTTGTGAGTCCATCTTTTTTCCGCTAGCCTGAAAATATTACAACAATCTTGCGGGGTGAAGAATGATCGATTGATGCATAAATGTGCAAAGTGACAGAACTAGCCTATGGTGCTGCATTAAGGTCGTGAAAAAGTGACGTTGTCATTCTCATCTCTACATTACGGCTAGTGGGGCTCAGAGTCTTAGGCGAATTTCTTTTAGCGGTAAGTTCCTTGGAAGAGTAATTCACTGGAGATTTCTGAGTGTTGCTTTTTGTGGTAAGCTTTCTTACAGCTTTCCGTAGCGTCTCGACAAGGTATAGGACATTCGGCTAGATTTGTCCCTCCATTGTGGGCACGCCATGTCGTTGAAACCGTTCTTGTACAGTAGATGTGCAAAACAGCTTTTGATCGCTCTATTCTCGGGAGTGGATATCACTTGCTGTACGCGGATACACAACACCCTCTAGGATTTGCCTGGATACCTCGCCATTCCCCAGTTCTCGATTACCATGCAGCATCTCTTTCACGAACTACAAGAAACAAGCTTCAACCTTGTTCCATAAATTGCATGATACTTTGGATCAAAACGTTTTTCCTTAGTCGCCACACATGTCTACAGTCGTAGGCGCCAAACGTCCTCAATTTACTGTCGTCGCTCCAGATCCCGTTGGAGTTCTACAGAAATCTCCAGCTCGGTGTGCACAGACCCAGTCCATTCCCTACCACTTTGCAATCAGATAAATTCCCAGCATACAGGAAGCGATGGATGAGGATATCCTCGTCTAGGCTGTCGAATATATTGTGTGTCGCACATCGTCATCTATATCGTCATCAACATCGTCATCTACACATCACTTAAAATTTTCGTCAGAATGGTTGCCTGCAGACGATACCAATTTGAACTAGTGTGATTTGAGAAAAAAAGTTACCACCGAAAAAGTATTCCAAGGTAGACATTTGAGTGCTACTGTAAGTCTTCGATATCTATCAACTCAGGGACGCTTGCGCACTCATTTTGCCCAGGAGACCATTTAGCTTTTTCAGCAGCTTCCTTACCATATAGCGACCGAATGAACTTTGTGGAGAGGACGATCAATTTTATCGCTCTTGTATTTGCTGATTTCATTTCCTCAGAATTTGGAAGGAGATACAAGGTGTGTTTGCTGGTACTTCAGTGGACCATGATGTTGCTGCTCTATCATCTTCATGTTCTCCCGTAACATTCTTCGACGTCAGAAAAATTTGGACAATTCCTGCATATACTATAATATAAGCCACAACTCTGATGATTTGCACAGACGAAATGTTTTCTCCTCTCTACCTTGCCATGTGTAATGATGATTGGGACTGAAAAATTATGGACTATTTCGCCTTTTCAAGCACCCATACCTTTCTTCTACACACTAGAAGTGAATCTCGCAATGCAAAAAGGTTTACATCTAAATTTCCTCGAAAAGAAATGACTGACTGTTTTAAATCCATGTAAACTTAACGATGAGCGAAAAATACGGTAACAAGAGTGCCGTTTGCGGTTCTCAAAAGCAAAATATCAGAAATTCGTGAACTAAGAAACTTCAAACTTCTTTTTTCTGATAAATCGATACGGTGCATCGTTGCCTTCATGCAGATTGGATGAGCACTTCTCGAATGCAACAAGTTGTTTGACGAGACACTTTTTTACATTTCATGGGTTTTTCATGTAACCTTCACGTATTCCTAATTTAGCATGAAGGAATGGTAAAAGCCGTCCTTCTTTGGGTCTTTTGTGAAGGTTACGTTAGCGTCGCGTGCGTATTCTCTCGTCTCAACTAGATCTTCTTCCGTTATTCCACAAGGAATACGTTATCAATATAACGTCTTAAGAATAATATTCCACTTTTTAATGATGACTTCTCAATGGACTGGTAACACTGATGATATGCGGTTACCCATGGCAACCTCATTATTACTTGTTGTCTAAGCAAAAAAAATGTTGCATCCCAGTGCTGCCTCAGCAAGTTCCTTTATTCCCTTGCAAAAAATTTGCGTAGAATCACGATCATGGTTTTCGTCCAAAAAGGACAACACCTATGCACTGCGCCCGCATTATTCACACTAGTGAGGATGCACCATCAAAGCTCCCGCAGAAAGCTGTTGTCGGTAATGGGCATTGCTGAAGCACTGAAATGAAGAAAGAATTGGCTTGTCTGCTGGACCACCTCCGAAGCGATAATTGTCTTTTTTGATTTAACAATGAGAGCGACAACGAGGGCCTGCTGTGAGGGCCTGCTGTGCAACTTCATGCGCCTTCACCAGGGTGTAGAGTCTCGTTACTATCGTAACCAACCCATGCAGTCGTTTCGCCAATTTTATTTATTTATTTTATTATGTTGGATGCACGCGTCAGGTGCGCTATACCGAATACAACACAGTACAGCTTATAAGAATAAAGTTCGATGGACCTCACGATCGAATGAAAAAAAAGAAACTCACAAATGAACAGAGAAAAAAAAACAAAGTTTTGTTCCATTGTCCAAAGTTGCTTTTTAGATTGTATTCAAATCACCCTTTGTAGGAATCCTGGGTAGGCGATGGCGCTAGGGATAGAGCCACTCCTTGACGACTATGGCATAGTATGTACAGAATCCGAAAACTGAAGTTTCTCGAGTTAGGATATCCTAGTCCTAACAATTCAGTTTCGCGACGCCGCCAGCCATAAAAATTTCGCTCTAGAACGCATAGATAATTGTTTCACCACCTAATTCTCCAATAGTTGTTACAAAGAGCCAATTTCAGTAGCAAGCTGCCAGTCATCGCAACAAAAAGTTGTTTCCAAAGCTTTAAGGTCTTTGCTAATCAACAATGCAGTATAGGTTGGTGACCATGTAAGTGGTGATAACAAAACGAAGAACGAAACAGGAAAAACAAAATCAAACAACATATGTCAAAACTGTTATATCACTGTCTTCTTTCACTGGTGCGTGTGCGACTAAATGTTGAGGTGAAAAGGAACAGACGGACACTAAGTACGATTCTCTGAAGTTCTCATCATCATTAGAAGTCCTCGATCGGCTTAGAAGTGTCAAAAGATCTACTTTCCTCAAAGCTCCTTTTGAAACGTGCTTGACATTTGGCACCTTTTGGATCTCTGTAGGTAAAGCATCTGAAGCAAACTTGGCCCCACGAACCAATTAAGACTAAAACTTTGGTAACGGATGACTTTGCGTAATTTTAAGACATATCAAGAGATATGCGACAGTGGTGCGGCCCACGGCTAGGCTGGAAACCCAGTAAGGCTTGGCGTCAACTTCAAGTTCGCCTTAGGACAAGCTTGAAGCAGAAGATATATGCATTTGAAAACGCGTCTATACAGAGAGTGTCTTGAGTCTTAAAACGCGCAGCGCTTATAGTCGGCCATACAGGCACGATACGCCTGGTGGTTTTGGGAGACACGCTGCTACGATAACCAAGTTTTTCCGAAGCGTTTGTTGGAGGCCTGCTCAATTCTGCGTTGCGAGCTTTCTGGTGTGCGGACGTCCATATCTGCATCCATATTCCAATATATGGGTCAGATAGGTCTTGGTATGAATTGTTTAGAAAATCGAGGCTCGTTATGGTGCGAATATGTTCGTGAAAGTTTGAAGAGCGACTCTGAAAGCTTCTGGTACTACCTCCCGCACTAATAATGGAGGCTCAAATAGTCCCAAACTCGGTACTTCGAGAACCCGAGATCGTGTAAAACGCTCTCTGCAACGCGCAGTTCTAAACATTGAAAACGTAGGTACCCCTGTCGCCTCCCGATGTGAAGCCACCATTGTGCGTGTCCAAGGGTAGCAGTATTTCCCCTAAGCTCATTAGCCGCAATCCAGTCGATCCTGAACCTGGATTGAGTTAAGGCTTGTGTGATTGCACTCTTTAGTGTTTTCGTCGTAGATTACCCATATGAACTTTGTTATATCGTCCTGCGTAGTCACGAACTTTCACACAGGGTGTGTGATCAAAATGGCTGGAGGTTATGTGTTCATAAGTATACGCGCAATAACAGCTGGGTGACAGTACTGCATCCGTTTGCCGCACCCACAACACGCTAGTACCATAAGTAGGCCTAGAAAAAAGGCGTGGCCGGACTTTGACCAGCACATTGCCTATCACTCAAGTAGGCGTATACGTCTCAAAGTCAAAACTGGGACGCGTCCTGACACCAAGTAGACGTAATTCAGCATAAGCTTATCAATATTCACCTAGTTCAAAAGCTTTTAGGATGTAAATCTCGAATGTAAATCATCAAGCCTTGACCTCTGCTTATAGCCATACGCCAATCTTTAGAAACGCCATATCAGTCGATTAAGGGTGCTGTGGAAGCACCTCCAATAGCCATGTTTGTTCCAAGGGATTAGCATGTTCCTTGCTGAGTTGTCGTTGGCACAAGTTTATCACGTATGGAGCTTTCTAGAATTGTGCGCAGTAGGGTGAAGTATGGCTGATGGGACGCGGAAAGAGGGGAACAAGATTTGGTTTCTGAACTTTCGTTATTGCAGTTAATGATTGACTCTTTCCAAATTGCACGGGACTTCGGAGAAATAACGGATGCGTTCAGGTATCAAGCAAATAGGCTTACACAGTGACAACGGCACTTCTTATAAACAATTTGGGGTAATACACAATCAACGTAATGAACAAAGACGGTTGATGCGACTAAGTACCTCTATACACCTTCATGTCGGGGGTATCGTGATTGCGGAAAGGAACTTGCATACGAGTGCCAGTTTCGATGCTTTCCACTGACCGTGCTGTCAGGCGGTAGCAATAAACTAATGCGGCGACCAAAAACTTGCAAGCGCTTCAGCTTCTGAACTATCAGTCAAGGCATGGAATACCAGCATCATCGCACAATATCGGTATGTTTGACTGCGGCTCATTTTACTTTTGATGAGAGCTAAACAAAGTTTTCGTCTGTGCAACTGAAAGATTAGGCGTTTTTCTCTGGATGCCAAAAATCTACGTATGTGATAATCTAGTTCACTGCAGGTTCGCTTGAAAAGGGGAATGGACAGAGGGGAGTCCTGCAATTTTTTGAACAGTCTGGATTTTTGAGCAATCAGATTGTAAATGTGCTTCGGGTATCGTATCCTGGGTACATCCATAGCTCAAAAGGCACGTGAGCAGCCAAAGCAGCATACAAAATACGGCAAAATCTTTTATACAGGTCGTCCACAGAATGATATCCCTCGAAGGCCCCCCACCAATCAATTGAGGATAAGTACTGAGAAAGGGCAACGTAGTCGGTCTTTATGTAATTTGGCAGAGGGAGCAGTTTAGGCTTATACGACGACACAGAAACCTCGAAAGAAACAACGTTGTGATCGGACGTGGCAAATGGTGGACCTACATGCACATTTTTGACAAGCGAGGTGTTATCCAGAACTATATCTAAAACTGATTCACCCCGTGTTGGCTGGGATACATGTTGAACGAGGTTGCAGCATTCGAACTGAAGAAATTTTGAAGACGCCGAATTTCTAGCCTCACTTCTAGCCACACTCAATTTCTAGCCTTTTTAGTCTCACTCAAATCTTCACTGTCATTAAAATGACGTACAGTAGCGGTCAAAAGTTTAGAAACTTTTTTATTATCGCTCTTGCGCGGCCGACACACAACGAAATCGTCCCAAATTTAGATATTTCATACAAAATCAAGTTTAAAATGCGACGGGAAGAATCATTCCCAAAAACCTATAATCATACTTGAAAAGTAAGACTTTTTCAAAGTAAGGGCGCGTCAGAAGTTTGGAAACTTTTTGTTTCCCACATCATTATGATTCCTACTCTTCAGCGTTTACTTGTTCCTGTTAATTTTAGTTCAACCATTGAGTAATGTGTAATTTCAAAATGAGTTCATATGAAGAAAACAGTTTTTCCATGGGAGGTCCTTTTCTAAACCGTGCAATCCGGAATACGAAATAGAATTTGTTAGTAGTACAACAATCTCTACGGAAGCTATATTATCAAATGTTTCTAGCGTTATTGGGGTCGAGTAAGCATAAGAAGAGTGACCATTCACAAAAAAGTATCTCCACAAAAAAGTTGGTCCTCCTCAAATACATACTAATGTGGTTGGCACGTCCCGTGTCTCCGGCTCCCCAAGAGACAATTTTTCTAGTTTTTTGCTATTTATACGAAAGTTCAAGTGCACTCTAACATCGGCCGCAACCTGG